TATGAGTTTTTATAACTGCTTATTGTTGTTGCTGTTGTCCATTGTTGTCATCTTTCTTTGTTGAAATCAGGTCTCTCTTGTAAATGAGTCCTCGAGGCTCAATGGGATTTACCTGTATAAATAAAGGTTGATTGATAGTCCAGTTTCTGATAGTCGAAGGTTTGGCTTCAAAAGCAAAGGAGGGGTTCCTCCAGTGGACGTCTCCTTTCGCTTTAAGGAGAGCTGACACAAAATGGTGACCGATTTCCTCTGTGGCTTTGACCAGAGAGTGTCTCACAGTAAAATCGCAACACCGTGTTCTTTTCACAGATCAGAGAGCAGGTTAATCCTTTGTTGTTGTTTTTTTTAGCACAAATGCACTCGCTAAAGCTGACCAACGCTTAATTTAACTTTCGACGGAGCACAGCGTTTTGCACTTGTCAGAATATGGCAACACTACGGCAAGCCGGCCGTAGTTAGCTTGTAGCTTCGCTACTTAGCTCTCGAAGAAAACAGACTTTAACACCATTTATGCACAGTTTTCAACGCAATAAAACATAACGAGTAAATCTGACAACTCTGATTTTACATCAGACACAGCATTACTGCGGTTAGCCGGTAGAATACATATCTCTATTATAAGCTAAATGTCTATTGTTTCTACCGTGTGCCACATATATTGCATATTCCTAGCGCTGTCTCCAGACCATACTGCATAGCTGTTCTCACCACTGCCTTGTAAAATTTTTCTTTGACCATCCAGATATACACTGAGCACCATTTGCTAACACGGCATGATAAAAACGGCTACAAGTCGTGGGATTAGCTTACTTACCACCTTTGTTTGACGTCTTACGACCATAAACTTCTGTGATAAATCCACAATGTCAAATATTATTCCTCGGTATGCCATGAAATATGCAGTATAAAGCTTGGAAAAGCACTAGAAGCCAAAGAAGTTGTATGTAGCTAGCTTCTTTGCACGTCAGCTCCGAGATTCCAAAAGACGCTGATTGGCCGGAATGAAAGTTCGCATGTGATTTAATTTGTTGATTTTTTTTAACTTCTTCGTAAACTTACGTTGTCGCTACACAAATCACGTGACACAAATCTGTTTTGACCGGGGGTGGGTCCTTTCCCCCAGTCTGCACGTATTTCTGCGCTGCATACAGACAGATTGTAGAGACCACTGTGCTCAGGCTGACAATTTATTACAAAGCGAGGGATAACTGGACATTTTGCTTGGGCATTTGCACAGTTGCACTAACTGCGCAACATAGATTTTCTTGTGCGCATAGAATGTGCGAGCAGTGCGTGATTGCGTAGGCACGCAGCTTAGAGGGAACATAGCTGCTAACCACATCAGAACATGTTTCTACCTCATGTACCACCTACACATGTACTAATCAACACGTGTCTCTAGTCTTGTCTCTAAATTACTTGTTTAGATTGAAATGTTTAGATTAGGTTAGATGTCTTTTTGCATTTATTGTAGGTCTGTTTGTATTTATTGTTCTGTTGTGTATCTGCACTGTGTTGTTTTGTATTTGCACTTTATGTTGTGTTGCATCGTGATTCTGGGAAACGCTGTTTCATTTCAATATGTACTTGTACATAGTTGAAATGACAATAAAACTTCCCTGACTCTGACAAATTCATACTAGTTCATGCAAACAATGTTTTTGTACATTTGTACATTTTCATCAGTGAGTTCTAATGGCAGCCGCTAGCTGCAACAATTCCTGATCAATCTTAGGTCACTTCCTGCAGGAATTTCATATTTCTGCTGAAATAACCATGTAGTGTGAAACGGATGATACTGTAAAGGTGTTAAGTGTTTGCTTGAAAGGTTCTGAAAACTTTGAGATTTTAGATGTTCTAAAACAGCAATCCACCTGTTACACTTATCAGGAAGTCCTTTTTCCCCAAAAGGATGTAATTTCAAAAGCCATCTACAGAGAAGATAAAAGTTATTCACAAGGTTTACACCAAACACTGAGAGCCCTGAGATAGGTGTGTGTTTTATTTGTTCTTTCTGTGCGGTCAGCAGTCTTTAACACATAAATAATGCATACAAGTCTCTGTATGTGAAATGCTCTGTTGCGTCTGTTCGTTTGTGCTTGTTCAGTTAAATTCCAAGAGTCTGGTGTTTCTTCTTCCAGTTGGTGTCATCTGTGCAGCTCCAGCAGTGGAAGGAGCCTGGTGGAGAGCTCAGGTCATTACATTCTACAAAGAAACAGATGAAGTGGAGATCAGATACGTTGATTATGGAGGCTACGACAGGGTAAAGATCGACTTGCTGCGACAAATCAGGTGAGTCGTTGATTTAATCAAACAGAAGGGAGAGACAAATGTCTTCCGATCAGTGGTTTGACGGTTTGATATTGAGAAGGTGTTGAAACTTTCATGGCTCCTGATCTAAGAACTGATGTGTAGTTATACACATATGTGTGTTTATGTATATTATGTGAATGTTACTTGTTGGATAAAAGCTCTTTAAGTGGTAAGAGTACAGGAATGTGCTATATCAGGTGCCCAATACATTGATTGTGATTTAAGCTGTTACGATAATTTATTATCCTTGTAATAGCTCTTTAAATAAATAGCCACACAGAAGAGGTAGATATTTTCTTAATCCCAGGTTTTAATCTTGCAAGATGGAGCAGTGTTGAAATACAAGCATCAAAATGTTACATGATGCTCCGTCCCCAGTCTGCTCACCGAGAGCCCAGGAGTCTTTTTATAAATGTTACCAGACAAAGGCGAGGTCAGACGACTGCTGCAGCCTCTGATCCAGACAAAACAACATTTTAATTAGGGGTGCGAATCTCTCTGTGTCTGGTGATCCGATTCGATTCCAATTTTTGGAGTCACGATACGATTTTAAAATCGATTTTTAGATTCGGCAACGATTTTTCAATTGACATGGTCATAAATTTAGTTTCAATTATAATGTATATGTAACTGACAAGCTGAAAAGATTAAACAACAGTGTAATCAAATAGAACATTTATTTAAAACAATCATTTAGTTCCTTACTGTATCAAATCTTTTTGATTAATTTTATGTTTATACCAAAAATAGAAAAAATATAGGAGTGTATAAAATTCTGTAACTTAAATGACCAGTATTAGGTTAGCTTAGCTGCCTGAATTTTTCTAAAAAAAATAATTCATCCATCCATCATCTTTACCCACTTCTTCCTTTTCGAGTCACTGGTGTCACTGGTGCCCATATCAGCCATCATTGTGTGAGAGGCGGAGGACAACAGGTCTCCAGTCCATCACAGACAAATAATTCAAAATATATAAATATAAAAGTAAACAGACTTCAGCCTAACATAGTACAATAACCTTTAACTCAAAATAAAATACAGACTTCAGTTATTTTTAACCATATTGCTCTAACATTTGTTATATTTTCAAAACTTAACCTAATATGAAATATACAGACTTCAGTCTTAACCATATTGATTCATATTTGGTAAATCTTTAACTAAATTTAAAAACCTGTGCAAGTTTGCACAAAAACTTCTGAACTATAATTTATAAATCATAAACTGTCTCATTTAGAACTGGCTCCAGGAGATGTGTCATTTCTTCAACCTGTTAAAAAGACAAATTACATAAAGTTTGTTGGAACAACTTATCTATAAGTTTTAGTTTAATGTGAGAAATAACAGTTTCCTTTGAGCTGCAGCTGCATCAGAGCTTCTCCCATCTGTTGTTTCATGGTGAAGTTGTGGAGCTGCTTTGTCTCAAAAAAAAAAATCTTACACGGAGGAATAACGTACATTAAATCCATCGTATTAAAATAAAGCTGAACCCGTCACCTTCCACTGAGCTGTGTGATCATAAATCCTTAGTGATGCAGCAGGAGATGGAGAGGGAACTCTTCACAGCCTTTGGAGAATCAGCTGGAAGTTTGTTGCAGAGTTCACTGGTCGACTGCTTCACTTTCATCTTCTGTGAATTTTGTCTTATTTCCAAAAACTGTACCGCAATTTTATTTTACTCTTCTTGTAAACAACTGTGCTCTGGTGAAGCTCTGTCTTCCCCCGGAACATTGTAGGATCTGAAATGATTTTTAAAGACGAAGCAGCGGGTTGAATCACGCTGTCCTCCATGCTAACAGGCTCCATTCAGATAAAGGGAGCTGGCTAACTAGCTGCTGTACGGTGGCCTACACGGCTCAATTCTACGGCGGCCGAACGGGGAGTAGGAGCAAAAAAAATATTAAACTTAAATACATTTTAAAATTGATTTATGGACCTTTAAAAACTATTCGCCAGGACTAAGAATCTAGATTCATTGAAAAAATGATTTTTTT